TAGTTAATTAAATACGCCTTCGCCCATTTAGTTCTACTAAATTGTAAGCAAATTGTAAATTTCGACATACTAAAACTCTATTAACAACTCGAACCGACTTGACCACGTAGCTCAGTTGGCAGAACATTGGACTAGCATCCGAAAGGTCGCGGGTTCGACTCCCACCTTGGCCAAGCAAACTTTTCAGCTTGCCTGGTGTGGATGCATACTCAGAGTAACGTCACAAATATCATACTAAAACTCCGATTTCTGACCATCAGAATTCTGTCAAAACTTACCCAATGTCCAGGAAATAGCATTTCAGAGAATTTAAATTAAAAAATTTCCTCGGGCCTTCGGCCCCCGTTTCCAGACCCCAAATAAAAAAAGAGCTTCCTACGGCACTGCATGCTTCTGTAATATGTCTTTGCGTAAACTATGTGTATTTTTGTTTGTAAATTGCATCTTCATTTTCCGGATAGCAAACACCTGCGTGGCTTCGTATGCCAAGAAATATTCGGAAATTTTCTTCGTCATGAAGAAACATAAGAAGATACATAATTATACTCGGTGCTTCTAGCATTATACGTGGTGCTTCTGTCATTATACTCGGTGCTTTTAGCATTATACTCGGTGCTTTTAGCATTATACTCTGTGCTTCTGTCATTATACTCGGTGCTTTTAACATTATACGCAGTGCTTGTAGCATTATACGCGGTGCTTTTAGCATTATGCTCAGTGCTTTTAGCATTATACGCAGTGCTTGTAGCATTATACTCTGTGCTTCTGTCATTATACTCGGTGCTTTTAACATTATGCGCAGTGCTTGTAGCATTATACGCGGCGCTTTTATCGTTATGCTCGGTGCTTCTATCCTTATATTTGGTGCTTTTATCGTTATAGTCGGTGCTTTTAGCATTATACTCAGTGCTTTTAGCATTATACGTGGTGCTTCTGTCATTATACTCGGTGCTTTTAGCATTATACTCGGTGCTTTTAGCATTATACTCTGTGCTTCTGTCATTATACTCGGTGCTTTTAACATTATACGCAGTGCTTGTAGCATTATACGCGGTGCTTTTAGCATTATGCTCAGTGCTTTTAGCATTATACGCAGTGCTTGTAGCATTATACTCTGTGCTTCTGTCATTATACTCGGTGCTTTTAACATTATGCGCAGTGCTTGTAGCATTATACGCGGCGCTTTTATCGTTATGCTCGGTGCTTCTATCCTTATATTTGGTGCTTTTATCGTTATAGTCGGTGCTTTTAGCATTATACTCAGTGCTTTTAGCATTATACGTGGTGCTTCTGTCATTATACTCGGTGCTTTTAGCATTATACTCGGTGCTTTTAGCATTATACTCTGTGCTTCTGTCATTATACTCGTTGCTTTTAACATTATACGCCGTGCTTGTAGCATTATACGCGGTGCTTTTAGCATTATACTCGGTGCTTTTAGCATTATACTCTGTGCTTCTGTCATTATACTCGTTGCTTTTAACATTATACGCAGTGCTTGTAGCATTATACGCGGTGCTTTTAGCATTATGCTCAGTGCTTTTAGCATTATACGCGGTGCTTTTAGCATTATACGCGGTGTTTTTAGCATTATACTCTGTGCTTCTGTCATTATACTCGGTGCTTTTAACATTATACGCAGTGCTTCTGTCATTATACTCTGTGCTTTTAGCATTATACGCGGTGCTTTGAGCGTTATACTCGGTACATGTAGCATGATACGCGGTGCTTTTAACATTATACGCAGTGCTTGTAGCATTATACGCGGTGCTTTTAGCATTATGCTCAGTGCTTAGATCATTATACTCGGTGCTTTTAGCATTATACGCGGTGCTCCTGTATTCGTATCATTATGTGGTGGTGAGCCAGTATTTATGGCCAGCGGTTTTCCTTTAAACGGAGTGGACGGAGTGATGAAATTTCACAAAAAGAAATTTTACAAATGAAAACAATTAAATTTTGATTACAATCAGAATTTCTGATAAATTAATATTATAATTTGTTTTTAAGCCGAAATCTAGACGTTCAATTATTTTTATTAAAAAACCCGAAGAAAAAATGGAAAGAAATTTGGAAACGTTTTGTTACTTTTTGACTTTCGGAATGAAATGTGAACAAGAAAATTTTGAAAAAGAAGGAAATTTCAAAAAGTGGAAACGCTACCGGAGGTGGTGACTAAAATAACTTGACTCCATATTTGCAAGTTTAACGTTTACGTTTCATTTACTGAATTTACATAGTCGTATATTTGGAGAATTTTCGCAAATATTAAAAATAGTTGGTTCGAATCTTTTACGTTAATATTACGTACAGTTGTCTTTGGCTTTGTTTACCATGGAGCAAATACTACAGGCGGTGAATCTGGGTACTTTACTCGGTGGCTTTCAAGCGCAAAGGATGGAAGAAAATGATGTCCTAGCAGCGTCGGATCAAGAATTAATTCGACTGGGTGTCAGTACGATTGGAGACCGTATTCGGCTTCGAGAGGCTTGTCGGAAGAAAGTCGAAGAAAACGCTGCCTCGACAAGCCAATCGAGTGCTTCGACGAGTCAAGCTACTGCCGCTCGCGAAGAACGTCTATCAATTTTTCACGCGCGGCGACATAACAGCAGGAGCCTAACACGTGCTGCGTCTAGAAACTCGACAAGCAACGGAAGTAAAAGATCGGCAAAAGGGTCTCCGTGGACACCAACATTTGTATGTTTAGCAGATAGCGCATCATCAAAGGCACCGTCGTCTGTCGATAAACAAATTTTATACAAAGCTGGGCTGGGTGTGAAAAAAATAAAACTAGATTTGGAAGACAATGAACAAACAGTTCTTGACAAAATAACTTCGGATACCAATGACACATTGGGAAATCCATTGGGATTTCCTCAACTGAAAACCATTGGGGGATTTGAAATGTTGCGCTGTACCCCAAACTGCCGTGACCTAACCGAAATCGATAGTTGCTGGAGTGCAAGAGATTTACGCTCAACTATGGGTGGCGGTCAAGGTAAAATTTATCTGCGACCTATACAAAGGTCATTGTCAACGAAGCCTCTAGTACAGCAAAGCCATTCTGATGTAAAAGAGAAGTGTCATATGTGTGATCAAGAAATCCTAGTTCGCAGCCTCCGTGACCACTTGTATACGTGCACAGTGGGTCTGGATTCAAACGATGAAGATGGATCCGAAAATATTACCAGCACTGCAACAATTGTCTCCAGTACACCATCCACCTCAATGGTTTCTGGAAATGCCAGCATCTCAAGTGTTAATTCCGATGGTCTACCTGCGACAATTACTGCTGAAGCCCCAGACCCCATAGTTCCGTTGGTTGACCTTACAGAAAGGCCGGAACAAACCAGCAATAATCCATCAGTCTTTAAATACTGTGGATGAAATTGTTCATGCTACTGTCGTCTACTATAATGAAAATAATATAGATAATCCCACCGAAATCCTTAGATGTTTTCAGCAGCAATTTGTGACTGGAAGAGCTTTGGAAGTTGTCAGCGAAGATGAAGTAAACGAGGGGGATACAAATTTTATAATGGTTGATCGGCGTAATCTTATTGAGACTGCATTTGATGAAATAATGGTCCTTCCTGAATACAGGAAGACATTGCAAGTGCAATTTTATGGTGAGGTATGTACAGTATTACAACCTAATATTTTAATATTAAAATGTCAACATTCTGCCATCTCTATATTTGTAAATACCAGATCATATTCTATGCATTAATTCTATGCATATCCTGCATTAATTACTAATGAATTCTTATTTCGCGATGCCACACGGTGTTGTGAACATAAATATTACTTGCTGTAATTACATTTAATCTCTTTTGTTATAGCTAAGTCGGACCTACAGATTAGATTGGCAAATACAAAGAGCAACGAAACAGGGAGAGTTGAAATATTTCATCCTTCCTTTGGCTGGGGAACTGTCTGTGATCGCGGATGGGATGATACCGACAGTCGCGTTGTCTGTCGTCAGTTGGGTTTCAGTGGAGTGAGCGGGACAAGGAAGAGAGCTTACTATGGTCGTGGAACTGGTTCAATATTGCTTGACGATGTGAAGTGCACTGGCAACGAATCATTCATTTGGGATTGTAGTCACC